TCCTTTGCTCTATGTCTAAAATCCACATATGAGTGAGTCCATACCATGTCTGTCTTTTTGTGATTGGGTTACCTCGCTCAGAATGGTAACATCAGATATCTTTAAAAGATAGATATTTAATGTCATTTTGTTGCATGCGTGTGTGCACGTACATCCACGTATGTGCAGGTTCACGTGTGTGGAGGTCAGAAGACCACCTCAGCTGTTGTTCTTCAAGCACCATCCACCTTGATTCTTGATACATTGTTTCTTTATGGCCTGGAGTTGAACTAGACTAGGCTGGTCCCAGGGATCCACCTTAACCTCTAGGGATTGAACTCATGTCCTCAAGCTACAAGGCAAGCACTTTCCCAGCTGGGCTCTCACTCTAGCCCACTTAGAGTTTCTTTGAGTTTACCAAAACAACAGCAAGAGCAACCACACCTACCTGGCCCAGAATCTTTGCTTGGACTAAATGGCAGAAAGCAATGGAATTACTTTGCAGAGGTAAACAGGGTCCAGGAGTTTGCATATATCTTCATTCTTCACCAACTCAGTCCTCTTGAATGAAGACCAGCCGAAAGGCTCCACAAGACGGAAGGAAGAGAGGCAGGAAGACCTAAGATTTGACAGAGTGTCATTATTGGAAGGCTTGCTGATAAAACTCTGGTCCTAGATGACATCAAACCAGTTGGAGCCTCACAATTTGGGCCAGAAAGAACAGCATATTTAAGTCTAGGACAAAAATGGCTTCATCCTAGCTGGAATACACCTGGTGGCTTATCTTAACACCAGAGAGTGATGGATCCCTGGCGCCAGGGTTGGGTTGTAAAGCCCCACATAATACTCTAATGGTTTTATTTATGAGTAGTTTCAGTTTTCTGGGAAACTATAGAGTAAAAACCAACTAGCACCACTCAGGTGATCAGGGCAGCCATGATTCAAGATGGCTGCAGTCATGTCATGCAGGGTCTGTTCTGTGAGCCTTACTGTTGTCTACCCAGGTCATCCCATCCTCTGTCTTGGGCAGCCAGTCCTGAAACGGGAGTCATGCATCAGCCCACTGCAGGAGACGCACGGAAGGAACAGATACCAGATGAACGCAGCCCTTTCTCTCCTCCCTCCACACACAGACCAGCTTGGTCTTCCATCCTAGTTAACCTCCTGCCTCCAGACTGTTCCCCACCTCACAGCCAGGTGCCAAACTGTATCTCTTCCATGCTGTCCCCAGGCACGAGCCCCAAGCCCCTCGGCAGGGATTGCCACTCTCAGATCTCCAGCTTTCGTGACAAACATTTGTTCCCTTTCTTCCGGAGTGTCCAGTCAGCATCCCATATGTATGTGCAGGTCCAGTGCAAAACTCGGCCTTCAAAAAGAGTTCCTTTCACCACTTCTAGCTACAGAGAATTATCTTCTCAAATGATTGCTCAGGAATCAGCTTTGATTCTTCAAAAGTGCCAAATATCTTAGAGCTCCCATGCTTCAGATCTCCATAGTCACCGCCACTTTCCTGCTGGATCCTTTCTTGCCTGGACTCCACAATGGCGTCATGACCATTCCCAGGGTGCGTCTATCATCTCCAGATTGTTCTAAAATGCCGATCTCACTCCCCTGTCAGACACAAGCCACCCTGGGCATTTTCTTCTTGTTGAAGTTTAGTACTGTTAGACCCCCAAAAGTATCCGGGGTCCCAGGCCACGTTCTCGGTCACCCCAATCACCAGGC